CCTGTGAGAAGCTCCGGAGACACGGTGACACGGGTGACACGCGCACTCGGCGAGGGGGGACCCTTATCAGAAATCTGCAAGACGGCGGGTGCGGATTTGCGGCTTGCCCTGCTTCTTGCAGTAGCTGTTACTGCTTGCTGCAATCCTTCCCACCGCCCAGCCCTTGCCATCACCATCCTAGGTTCTGCTGGTCCCAGCAGCACGCCGCACGCGCGACACTGGCGCTGGCGCGAGAAGCACGTTGACCGGGGGGTTGTCTGTCAGTATGTGTCTGAGAAAGAGAGATACAGCGGGAGAGAGGGTGAGGAAGAAGAGACGGAGAGACATGGATGAAGAGAGAGAGAGAGAGTGTGTGTGTGTGCGTCTCCATGTATCTCTTGCAAATGCATCCAACCACTGGCGTCACCGCGGAAAGAGATAGACAGGAGAGAGGAGCCAAGAGAGCGCAGAAACAACCAACCAGTGGTGCCATCCGACCCGATGATACGGATATTAGGGTTGATATGGCGGTAACATGCGGTATACCTCACCTCTAGCTCACCCACATGCATCAAGCCACCAACAAAAAAACCGGCGCAGCAAGAAAAGAGATACATGACACTTCCAGGTTGGGTTGGGGGGTGAGGTTTCCAGAGTGACGGTCATGGTCTCCTGGTTAAGAATCATAAGAGGCAGAGGGAAAAAAGAGTAGCAATACGTATTACCAGCAAGCAGCCCCGGTTCGAGCTGAAGGAAAAGAGACCCAAAGTAGCTTGGCTGTGCCGTACGTCTAACGTCTAGCGGCGGAGGTACTTCGTTTCGAAGCTTGGTTTGAAGGAGGTTCCCATTCGCACGCGCACACGACGACAATCTTTCTCTTCTTTTTTTTGCCCTTCTCCCATGCCCATCCCGATTCCCCATCCATCCCATCCCATGCTCCATGCTCGTTGCTCATTGATCAGTGCTCGCAGCTCTCTCTCATCCATCCCCGGGCCTGTCCAGCCCACGCCTACCGATCCTACTTAACCAAAGTCCACCCACTCTTCAAAATTTTCCTTTTCCTGCAGATTTTTAAGGTCCCAAGCCTTTTTCTTCTTCATTTCCCACTTATTAGTCTTCCCATTTTGCTGGACGAAGGAACGGGGGTCAAGTAACAAAGTAACAAATACCACAAGACCCTTCCTACTCTCTATTTAATCCTTTTTTCCGAGCTTTGTTTCTTTCCCTCTTCCCCTGGCTTCTTTCTTCATCAAGCCCCCTTCACCAGCCACTTTTGGGACGGGATCCCCGACGACGGGTGCGCGGGCGATTCATCTTACAGATACCTGTCTGTGTGCAAGTCCAACGGCCGACTCAAAACCAACAGACACAGTCCAAGACCCAGGCACCACAGACCTTGACCAGACCAACCTTACCGGCGATAAACCACCATACTACTAATACCCAAGGGCATAACGCAACGGCCACCAACAACTCTGTTCCCTGGACATTCCAGCCACCCCCAACGCCGACGCCAAAGACACGAACGAACGACGTATTTGGGGCCTTCTTTGGACGACCTGACCTGGCCAACCCTGGAGGATATATAGACGATAGACGGAACACATCGATCCATGTTGCAGCCCCCCCTCCCGTGACAGGGTCCTCTCTCTTCTTTCCACTCTACAACCTCACGAGACCACCATCCATCTTGAGCTTCGCGGCGGCGCTTACCATCGTCTGTCGCCAGCTGCCGCCACTAAGAATTCAACCAGCCCCAACTCTCCAATTTCCAACCACCCCAGAGCCGGCGTCTTTTATTCCCTGTTACCGGCGGTTCTCCCTAGTCTTGACGGCAAACCCGCCCCCAACAAGACGAGACGTATCCGTACAATTGCCCGCCTAATAAGCGACCGATTTCTCCTTCCAGGACCGGACAGCCAGCAACGAAACTGGGTCGTCAAGTCGACTAGACCAACGGGCCAATAAGATGGATTCACCACACCACATGGGCATTCGCGAGCTCAATGTGAGCAACTGGCACTCTCACAATGCCCTTACCGATACCTTCAATCATGCGGTCCCCGCAATCAAGACAAGCGCAGGTAAGAGTAAACACGAATTTTTTTCTCTTCCCTCATTTGGTTCCTCGTTGCGTCTTCCCTGCGCTTCTGCCCTGCGGCTCTTTAAATCAATTCTTCTTGGCCACATATTCTTCAACGCTACCTCTCCTCTCACCTTGGCATTTTCATTCAACCTCACTTCGTGTTGTGTGTCTCTTTCACAACTCAATCATACCGCCTACACCAAACCCCGAACATCGTCATCAAGTTCATCCAATCTCATTTTCCAACGCTCCGGCAGGATCGTTTGGGGATCTGGCTTTTTTTCAGAACGTGCAGCAAAAGCGCCGAAAGTTTCGGTCACGTTCACGGTTATCGGCCTCTCGGTGCTCTAGAACCAACCCAGAAGAGGACGTGGAACACAAAAATCTCATCTCAACTATTGACAAGCTTTTCATCCTGTCTGTCACAACCTCGCAAGTCACTTCACTACATGACCACATTTCCTTTTTTTTTTTCTTCCTCTTTCCACTTGGCTTTCATTAATGCTCTCAACTTGGACCCGGCATCACGACGAAAGCAAACTGACCAGTCTATCCAGCCTTCTTCACATTTCTCCGCGCCAACTTGGTCCTGAACCCATCCGCCATGTCATCCAACACCAACACACCCGTCCTCCAGCCTACGGTGGCTTCCAATACCCACCGCCCGGCAGCCCCGTCTCCGCTGGCAACATCTCAGACTCTCGACCCCTTTGACGACATCCCTCCTTTGTCGCTCGAGGTCCTCTCCACCCGCGAGGATAAGGCCGAAGCCCTCCACCTCGTAGCAGACTCCATCGCCCAGCAGCGCCAACAGGCCGCCTACTCACTCGTCTTCCACCCCGTCCCGCTCGCAGGCCTCACAGCCACCCTCGGCGTCGCCTACCAGTACTCCTACGCACGCCAAGGCGACATCGGCCTAGCCTTCACCCTCTTCAGCGGCGTTATCATGACCTACCTCCTCGCTATCCGCTGGGCGACGAGCGGCTACCTGCCCCTCGCAGAGCAAATGTCCTGGTCCTTCATCCGGCCCCACTCGGACGCCTCCGCCGACGAAGAGGACCTCGTCCTCGGCACCCGCTTCGGGAACGAGCTCGTCGGCGCCTTAGTGCTCCACCTGGAGCCCGCGAGCCCGGCCGTCGCCTCCACCTTCAGCAGCCGGCGCCGCAACAAGGCCTCGAGCTTCCGCGGCGGAAAGGGCATCATCCGCGCCTGGACGACGAAGCTCCGGTACCGCGGTAAAGGCGTCGGCACCGACATGCTCGACGAGGCGGTCCGCATCACGCGCGAGCGGTGCGGAAAGGACGCAGAGGTCGGCTTCGCGCTCGAGCACGCCAACAGCCGCATGGTCATGCCCGAGTTCTTCAACGGCGTGTTTAGGAAGCGCGAGCGCTGGGCCGCCAAGACACTCGATGGCGTGTTGGCTGAGCGGGAGCTCACCAAGAAGAAGAGGTGAAGATCGTCGTCGTCGTCGTCGTCGTCGTCTCACTTCTCCATCATCTAAAGAACACAACAGACATTTGTTCTATCTCGTATTGCTACTACCCACTTATTCGCAACCTTTGGTGTGTTCGCGCGCGTGTGTGTGTTTCTTCTGTTGTTCCCTCTTTTCGGACAACTAGGCGGGGACGGTCGATGGAAATTGGTTACAAATATACCCTAGAGCTGTGGGAAACGACGGACCAGGTGTCATTGACACGTTACTGGTGTAGGATCCCGCGGGCATCTCTCTTATCTTTTGGTTGTCTTATCTTTTTCAAACGATACCCCTCGTTATATCAAACGGCTTTTCATCTTTATACTGGGCGCCTCGGGTGGCGATTATACAATTTGTATAGAGCGGAAAGATTTGGGGAGGGAGTCAAGAGTTCTTCGTGGTACACCCTTCCCGTTAAAGAGCGTGGAGACGTGGACGTGGCAAGAAGATATCACTAGACGTGCAGCTTGGGGAAAGGGAAGAGTGGGAGAGAGGTCCTCGCAGATCATCCGTCCCCTTCCCTCCTGCTGCCTAATATAAACCCTTCGTTTGGCAACGTATCTATCTGTTCACACTTTCTTGGACTGCGGCGAACAAAGTATGGTTGAAAACTTGCAGCCGTTCTGCGATCAGCTACAAATAACACTTCCCAGCGGGATGCAATAAGGACAGTTGGCTACTCAGACAGGGCAGCTGAAGCACGAATCCTGATGGTTTCCCAAGTCATGACGCTCAATCTCGCCCATTTACCCAGAAACTAGTCTCAATCACGATCCGATGTCAATTACGACTCAAACATCCCAAACTAGAAAAGATCTAGATTGCCTCGACATGGCTTATATCATTCACGACTGATCGTCTCGATGCGCTCATCCCGCGCTCCGCCGAGAGCTGGCTTACGATAAAATCTCACTTCATTTTCGCTGACGCCGTGTACTACTGACTTTGTCTGCTCACGTGCCCAGGATCGAGAACTGACAATGTACGGGATGTCCATTCCTTTCTCCCTCCTGAGGCTCGGATATCCGGAGAGGAGTCTCCAAAACCCTTTTTCTTTCAGTCTTTTCTTCGCGATGACATGATATCTCTCTCCTCCGTTGTTTCAGGCGGTCGATAAGTTTCGCGCATCCCCACGCGAGATTCTCCTGGCCATCGAGGATCCTCTCTTGCAAGGCCTCATAACCCCAACGTCGGGATCCAGAAAGAAAGTGAGACACACACATATCCTTATTCCGTAGTCCTTTCTCGTCCATACTCGCTTCAACCGTAAACGCCAGAGGTGCCTATACCTCACAAGACAAGTAAAGAAGGACCCAGAAAGGGTGATAAGGTCCAACAAATAGCTGTGGTGATGGCACGCTTTTCTGACTGATGGTGGAAATCCGTCTTGGCGTTTTTGACTCACAGCTTATCTCTCTAAAGCTTGAAGAGACACAAGAGGAGGTAAACCGGCCAACCCTCTCAGTCCTTGATACCTGCTGTCTTTGCCTTGCGCGACTTCGGGTCGACAAAGGTATCGGGGTCGAAGCCGTAGATAGGCTTGCCTTTGCGGGCCAGAGCATGCAAGACCTAAGGGGAGGTAAATTTCAGATACCAATCATCACAGAACAACACCGGCCCTGCCACTAGAATCTGACGGAGGCAGGTCATGAGACTTACATCGTGAATAGTAATAGTCTTCGCCTTCCGATGCTCCGCGTATGTCACGCAGTCTCTTAGGACCTATTTGTAACTCGTTAGCCTTTCATGAAGCCAAAAACAAACAAACAGAATATGATTTATGTGAGAGTGTGTACTTACAGACTCGAGCCAGGTCTTCAGGGCCTCACGAGCGTCGTCGTAGATCATGGCGGAAATCCGCTTGACGCCGCCACGACGAGCCAGACGACTAAAGTGAGAGAAGGCAGTTAGCTTAAAAACTATCTCTCAAAGGGAAGGGGGAAGGAGGTAGATGTAGGTAGTCGCCATGGTAGAGAGACGCAGGTGAAGTGGGCGAGGATGATGATGTGCGTGATGAGGCTGAAATGAGATTCGATCGAGGAAGAGCTCAACTCAAGTCCCCTTCATCACCGTCATCTCAGGGAAACCCCGAGACCATCCGCCTCACCCGGGAGCCTCAAGAATTCTCAATCAAGGAGAAAACCTCCTGCAATCAAGGAAGAAAAACATACCGAATAGCAGGCTTAGCTAAACGAGTAATCCGGGTCAGCTCCTCAAATCCAAGTGTGTATAAGCCGTCAACTGAGTCAAAGTGCAACATACTAATACCCCGAATACAATCCTTCATAATTTTTCTAATTCTCCTAGTCAGTAGCCGAATCTCACCTGCCGTAAGTGAAGATCGATAAAAGGAGACCACTTACCGGTGTCTCTTTGCACCGGTCCCCGCGTTCTGCAGCACAGTCTTGCCCTTGCCGCCTTGATGCACCTTTGAAGCGGTGCCGCGCTTGCCGCCGGAGCTCGAGGCCCACGGGCCGCCGCGAAATGCGGGCGCGGGCGGCATGGTGAAGTAGTGATGAAGTCAGTGTAGACTGTGGAATGAGGAATATTGCTGGTGCTTTCTTTTAGATCGTGAATCGCCGAACTGGGAGGCGAAGGTGAGGATCCGTGGGTGTGTGGGTGGACGCGCCGCTTGGGGACTGTTGTTGGGGACTTGGGACGGGGGAGTTGGCAGCGATTATGTGGGGGAATAACCGTAAGCTAAGGAGGTTTTGAGGTACCCAGAGACAATAGAAGCACTGGATGCAGGGCAGTGGACTTACTGCGCAGTAGGTAGGTACCTGCCATCGATCCAATGGAGACAGGTGCGGCAGGGACGTTTCTGCCTTGCCTTATCGGTCACGTCGCGAGTCTTATCGGCTCAACATGGCCCGTGCGGAACTGCCCCGTGCAAAAACACCGTAGAATCATACACCACGCACTGCCAAAACTCATCGCTCGCAATGCAGGTGCAGGGAACTTGCTGGCGAATGTTTGTCATGTGTCTTGTTTCAAGACAGAAACTCTGAAGTCGGGGTCGGGGTCTATGTGATGCCCCAGCTTTCGGATAGCTGAGAGCTGAAGCACTTTGGCACGAGGAGCTATGCTGGCTGCGGGAGCACAGGATTTTCAGTGATCAGAAACTTGCACGGCATATTCAGAATGTTGAAAGTGTGTATTTGTATTAGAACAACTTTATAGAACAAGTATGCGTACCCAATTCAACGAGTGACCATAGCCCCCATCTGAACGCCTAACCAGACCGGCAACAACTACCCAAGAATTTCATCGCCGTCGTTTCATTGTCCATACGTCTATTCGGAGATGAAGGTGGCCTCGCTGAAGCAGAGACCCTCTTCGGAGATTTCTTGGTCTCCAATCTTGAGCTTCAAAGTGAGCTTCTTCTCTGTCGGGCAGTACTGTAATCGTTGTCAGCTTAGTTCCTTGAGCCACTAGGGGCTCGACCCGGGGACTTACCTGGTAAATGTACGGCTTGGTGCCGGCCGTGCCAGCTACTATCTTCTTGACGAAGCCGGGGACCTCAGCCAGTACGTCCACTCTGTCCAGCCTCTCGCCCAGAGGGCCCTCAATGACACCCTCCACGGCCTTGCCATCCTTGTCCGTGCCGGACCAAGTGAACTTGATCTCCTCGGGCTCGGGCCACTCGTTGACGGAATCGTTCTTCGCCTTGGTGTGCTTGGCCGTCTGCGTGACGCCACCGTAAATCATCTCGCCGTCCTTGGCGATACCGCCAACGCTGACCGTGGTCGAACCATACGAGGGAGGGGTGGTGTACTCCATCATGACGGCCGAGTAGTTGGGGCCCTGGAAGTCGACAAAGTTCCACTTGGCCGCCGCGTGGTGAGGCTTCATGCCCTGCAGCGCGTACACGTAAAAGGCCCGACCCTTGAAGTCGACGGCGCCGTCCTTGGTGGTGATGGTGCCCTCGGTGATGCAGCGCGGCCAGAAGGCGTGGCGCATGGTGCCCCAGGGCTTCGACATGTCGGTGCCGAACAGCGTCTTGCCCGTCTTGCCAGCGTGGAAGCCGGGCGACATGCGGGTGACCTTGAGGTTGACAATGGCGTTCTCCGAGTTCATGCTCTTGATCGTGTAGTAGGTGCCGTCCTCGGACAGCTCGACGGCGCAGTCATCGGCGTAGAAGGACATCCGGTCTTCGCTCACCTCGTAGTGGCTGAGCTGTGTGGTCTCCCAGAGCGTCGGCTTCGACTTGTTGGGGTAGAAGATCTTGGCGTTGAACTGGCATGTTGTGCGGATGCCACTGTTTGAACATAGGGTCAGCATAAAGAGACAGGTGTGAAAGACAAGGAAGCTATCCCATACCCAACGTTGCTGTAGATGATTTGGGCCAGCCCAAGGTGTCCGTTGTCGCCCATGAGGTAGAAGCTCTGCGTCTCAACAGAGGTCGAGTCGGCCGCAATCCATTTCAAGTCATCCTTGGTGGTCTCCGTGTGGGTAGTCGTCTTGGCCTCTTCGGCGACGGATCTGATAGCTGTTGGGCCGTAGATGGGCTCTTGGGTACCTGCCACATCGGCGAGCCTGGCAGAATCAAAAGGTTAGCCTTGGCTGACGCAACATTGAGGGACGGCAAACACTAATTACTTTTGTTGCGCCCACTTGAACATGTTGACGGCAGAACGCGTGAACGGGTGACGACGGATGGAAACGGGAGGGGTATAAAAGGTGGTCGTCGATGGCGGTAAAATGCAGCAGGTCTATACACGGGTAACAAGAGAAACAAGCTTCTTGGTGGTGTTCTTAAGAGGAAAACCGAGTTGAGAAGAAGTTGAGTTGACCGCCCCAAACAAGAGCCAGCGGAGGGGCCGAGGGGTCATCCCACGACCCAATGACGGTGAAACTGTGGCTAATGCGACCAGGGTGGATCCTGCGCTCCCCCGAGCATCCCGGTCGCTTGGACCTTTGGCGCGTGGCTGGTGCTTCAAGGCTCCTAAATTTTCCACCTCCGAAAAGGTGCAGCATCAGGTCTGATTGATTGAAGCTTGGTTGTCTGTCGCGCGGTGCAATATACCTGCCCATCACCACCCACCCATCACCCCCCTTTTCCCCAACGAGCAGACTCGTCTGTATATCCGTCACCATGTCCAAGAGAGGAGCGACAGTTGCCGACCAGGTCGTGAAGCTCATCGTGGGCGCCGGGCAGGCCAGCCCGAGTCCGCCTGTTGGTCCTGCGCTGGGTAGCAAGGGTGTCAAGTCGATGGATTTTTGCAAGGTGAGACTTGCCCTTGGGACTCTGATGAAGCAACACATGCCACTCTCTGCCCAACATCTGTGCTTTTAAGGGGTTGGTTATGCCATGGTTGAGATCAATGCTAACGTGTCTTTGCTCAATCGATAGGAGTTCAATGCAAGGACAGCACACATCATCACCGGCACGCCGATGCCTTGTCGAGTCACTGTCCGAGGCGACCGATCATTCCACTTTGACATCCGCACACCTCACACATCTTGGCTTCTTCTCAACGCCGCCGAGGTGCCGGTCGGCAAGAAGGGCAAGCGGAAGGGCGCAACCAACCCCGGAAAGGAGACGGTCGGCACCGTCAGCTTGAAGCACGTATACGAGATCGCCAAGATCAAGCAGACGGAAATGCGTCTATCGGGTCTCAGCCTCGAGGCCATCTGCCGCTCCGTCATCTACCAGTGCAAGTCCATTGGTATCAACGTCGTGCCATAGAGCACGTGTCCTACAACAGTCTATTTTCAACCACGTATAAAAACGGAGTCAGGCGCGGAAAGAAAGCATCCACTTGTATACCATCTCAAACGAAGAAGAGCGTGCCCATGTACAATTATTAGAGGATCGAGACGAGGCGACGTTATCATAGCAGACAGGAGGCACTGTACGATGAGAATCTCAACCGCCAAGCAAAGGCAGAGCACGGTGACAAAAAAACGTTCATACACTAGCGCCGCGTGGTCGGAACATGGCACGCCTGAAGGGATGCTTCATGCGCCCCAGAAGTCCCAACTGAGCAGTGACGTTGAATATATGTCTCGTTTTGAGGCGAAGTCCGTTCTCACGCTTCTACTTGCGCACGATAGTGCGAGTACGCCAACCGTCCGTGGGAGACCGAAACGACTAGCTGTCTGGCCGTTGTCTAAGGATTCGGAAGGGAAGAATCGATGTAGAACTAAGAGATTATGATAAAATGCTAATTGTTGCACGCCTGCTTGAGTAAGTCGCCGGGCGGATTGGATCATGGCCCGCCAGAACTTTGTATGTCGAATTGAGATGGTGTGAGGGGAAAGTCTCATTGTGTCGTGCTGAACCACAGGATTGGGGGATAGTTGACAAGGTCGTTCCAAAGTCAAATGTGCGATCAGCGGTCTAGAACTGATATGCAAGCGGCAAAGCCAGCACATCAGTGGGGAAGAGATGGTTCAAAGTCTCTCGAAGCTTCGCAATCGAGATCGACAAATCTGTCGAGACTGAAAGGCTCACACGTCTTCCTCCTCATTGTCAGTGAAGCGTGTCGTAGGCAGTTCCTTGCCTGTCCTATAATGCGACGGTTCCTCCAAGAAGCTTGCGCAAGAAGGTATTTGCTGTGCAGTATTGGGTAACGGGTCCCAGTGGCAGATGCTTTAGCTCCGTCGGTGGAGGCCAGCTGGTTGCGACGAAATGCAGGCCCAGATCTACAAGTAGACAATGCCAGGGCCATGCCGATGGAGATTTTCCCACCTGGTGCCCCTGGAAGGCGGTCCTCTTTTGCAGCGTGCCTGGATAAAGGGCTCCATCAGCAGCAGCCTGTCATCTGCAAGAGCGCCTCCAAGCCTCGTCAGTGTGGGACCGATTCGAAGCCGGTGATGTGACGGAACAGTGGCCGTTTTCATGCTGCAGGTGCAACACATCAGCAACCACGCCACTGTGCTGGGGCAACTGGGCTCGTCGGTCTGGGACCGGAGATGCGGCGGTGTTCGTAGGGCGGAAGGGCGGGACGAAGGCAGGCCAGTTAAGGTACGTCTCGGCATGTGCTCTGAAAGTGAGTCTCGGGCTAGTGGGCAGTTGGGGAAGATGGGGAGCAAAGCTCCGTCTGTTCCTGTCCATCACTCCATCGTAACCCCCGTCTTGACTCCTACTTGCTGGAAGCTGACAGAGAGCTAGACCTCGCGGCTCGTAGAAGCCGGTGAGCGACGAGGGTTTCTTTTGGTGGGCCGTCGGATGTGCGTTCAACTTTCACAGAGGTAATAGGTAATCTATTGTTCATATGTTGAAGCCTGAAGGAGGGCGAAGACGACTTGGGATTGGTGTGCTTTTGTTTTCTAGCAGGCTTGACTCGTTCGTCCCGGCCTAGACAAGAGGTGCATTGTCGAATCATCTGGCGCGCATTGGCGTTCGTTGACCTTATGGACGGGTATGCCCTGGTTACCGTCGGCGGAATGAAGAGCCTGAACCGAAAGAAAAGATTTTTCAAGAGGCGCGAGGAATTAAAAGAGTCATCGGCCTTGTGGAGATCGGGGCGCGGCCGAAGCAGGCAAAAACCATCAACA